TTCCAGCTGTGGGCCTGAACACCTTTCCAGGAAGGTTAACAGTGTTTGGGAGGGGGCAGGGAGAGACTTACATTTACCTACCGGTATTCCCCCTAAATTTCCCCCCACTTCTGCAACTTATATTAATTAAATTTTATCAATAAGCAGTCTATTCATTCAAGAGCAAATTCTACGTCCTCTTAATGGAAACTTCTGTTTTTCTTCAATGAAATGCCCCAATTTGCAAGGAAGTGCTGCAAAGTGCCTAATACGGAGCCTAGCACACAGTAGGTGTTCAGTGCATTTAAAGATATAATTTTTTTTAAAGTATTAACTGGGGGGAAAAAAACCCACCACATTGAAACCTGTAAAGAATTATAGTGAGTTTATCTGAGCCAAACTGTGGACATATGCCAGAAAGCAGAACCTCAATGAATTGAGATAATGCTCCGGGAGAATGGCAGGTTACATTTGTATTTATACATTGCAGACAAAGGCGGGACATAGGTGGGTTACAATAAATTCATTAAGAGGTGGGATAAAGCAAAGTGGTGGGAAACCCCTGGGATTGGATAAAAAGTAAAATGAGGAACTTAGGTGGGTTCATCATTTGTTCAATTGTCCCTGTACCCACCATACTTAGATGGGTACAGGAACAATTAAAAATGATCCTGTAGGAATTTGAGGCATCTATCCTTGGTTGTGCCCCAGGGGCTCCAGAAAAAAAAGAAGTTACAAGTTAACCAGACATCTCACAGATATGTTATCTTAGAGGCTAAAAGGCAAATGGGCTTAGTAAAGATCTAAGTTGATCTTTGTCAGGGAAAATATCGCCCTAGGACATGACTACCCACTATAACCTGTTTGTAGTTAAATATTTAATTTTTAAATCATCTTTTGTGGTTATTTTAGGTCTCTGAGTTTGCAAGACTGTCACGCAGGCCTCCCCTGAGCTTATCAGGTTAGCAGGTGGCTTCTTTCGTCCACAAAAGATTAAACAAGTTTATTGAGAATGGGAAACTGGACACCTATTGCTGAAAATTGGTCAAATGGCACATGCACTTCCTTGTAAAATTAACATAAAACCTGTCGGCTGTTCTCGGGGAAAGGGAGGGAGGAAGAGACTGAACATAAACTGCACCTATGGATGAGGACAATGGGGGGTGGGGAGGGGGCGGAAGGTGGGTGGGAACCTGGTGGAGGGGGGAAGAAATGAGGAACCTTTGTAATAATATGAACAATAAAGATTGATTTAAAAACAAAACAAAACAAAACAAAACAAAACAAAAAACCTGTCAGGAACACAGGTGTGGGTGTTTAAAGACCCAAGCTTGAGCAGATGGAATTGACATCTGCTGCCTGCCATGCCCTCTGCAGCTTTGAACCTCAAAAAATAGCTATTTGCCGGGCCGGTTTGGCCCAGTGGATAGAGCGTCGGCCTGCGGACTGAAAGGTCCCGGGTTCAATTCCGGTCAAGGGCATGTAACTTGGTTGCGGGTGCATCCACAGTAGGGGGTGTGCAAGAGGCAGCTGATCGATGATTCTCTCTCATTGATGTTTCTAACTCTCTATTCCTCTCTCTTCCTCTCTGTAAAAAATCAATAAAATATATTGAGCAGCTCCTGCCTGCCTCAGTTTCACCTCGGGTTAAAATGCATGATGGTGATAGCAATCTTTGCTTAAAGGAAATCAGGGTTGGGACACCACTTTACCAAGCAAAATGGGGAATGCATTTGTGGAGTGTGGGGGAGGAGGAGGAGTGCACAGGTTTTTTATAGAGTGCAGACTCGCTTTTACATCTTTTTGCTGACGCATGTCTCCCCTTTTTTCCAGTTCAGGAAAACCACTGCAGTCCCTCTCCTTTCGACAGAGTGCATTTAAAGGAAGATTCACTGAAAGAGGTTTACTTGAACTATTGAAAATATCATTAATTTATGTGAAAAATACTGAGTACCTACTGTGTACCAGGCATTGATCTGGGCTCTTTACAAAGAATAAAGATAACAAAATGGAATGCCAATTTATTCCTTGGAACCAATGATCTAAAATACAACCATTCCTTAGGGTTAGATGAGGACAAATGCAAAACTGTTTTTCTGGCACCTTCCCCTGGAAATTAAGGGAAATGGAGAGTGAGGTTGCCCCGGAAAGGAAGTGCTTAGCTCAGTCTCTTAGTTTTGACTTTGTAAAAACAGTCCCTGAAATATATGTGTTGTTTCAAAATTTTCTTTAATGATTTTTAAAGAGAGAGAGGAAGGGGAAGAGAAAAACATTGATTTATTGTTCCATTTATTTATGTCTTCATTGGTCACTTCTTGCATATGCCTTGACCAGAGATCAAACAAAAAACCTTGGAGTATCAGGACTGTACTCCAACCAACTGAATTACCTGGCCAGGACCTTAAATGTCTTTTTTTCTTTTTTTAAAAATATATTTTATTGATTTTTTACAGAGAGGAAGGGAGAGGGATAGAAAGTCAGAAACATCGATAAGAGAGAAACATCGACCAGCTGCCTCCAGCACATCCCCTACCAGGAATGTGCCCGCAACCAACGTACATGCCCCTGACCGGAATCGAACCTGGGTACTTCAGTCCGAAAGGCCGACGCTCTATCCACTGAGCCAAACCGGTTTCGGCATGTCTTTTAAAAAATATATATATTTTTATTCATTTCAGAGAGGAAGGGAGAGTGAGAGTGAGATAGAAATATCAATGATGAGAATCATTGATCGGCTGCCTCCTGCATGCCCCACACTGGGAATAGAGCCCGAACCCCAGGCATGTGCCCTTGGCCAGAATCAAACCCGGGACCTTTCAGTCCACAGGCCAATGCTCTACTCAGAGTCAGACAGGCTAGGTACGGCCTTACATGTCTTAATAGCAGTGCTAGCTAATTAAAATAGCTGATATGTATTGAGAACTGAGTGAGGCATGGTGTTAACCCCTTTATGTGTATTTAGTTAATCGCTTTATTTGTATTTACTCTCCCCAGACATGGAGTATTGCTTCCTGTTTGTACCCCCGTTGTGCAGATGAGGAACTGAGGCACAGAGAAATTCAAGTAACTAGTGTAAGAACACATATTAGTAAATTGGTATTTTGTTTACTGGCATATCTATATATAGCATAGATATCTATGCACCAATAGCAATGCTGGTACATGGTGGACACTCAATTTCTCTTTGTGGAAATGAGTGATGAGCACCTGAATAAAAAAACCTTTTATTTGAAATAATTATAGACAGGTAGTTTCAAAAGTAATACAGAGAGATTCTAAGTACTCTTTCCCCAGCCTCTCCCAGTGGTATCATTTTACATAATATTAAAACAGAAAATTGGCTTTGGTACAATCTATTGCAATGTGATTTCTTTCTCATTTATTTATTTATGCCCTACCTCTACCCCCTAGAGGTCGACCCTGAGTCCCTGCCACCCTGGTGGTGACCATTCGACCAGTCCTTCTGTAATGTGCTTTCTTAATTTAAATTTTTAAAAAAATATATTTTATTGATTTTGTACAGAGAGGAAGGGAGAGAGATAGAGGGTTAGAAACATCGATGAGAAAGAGTCATCGATCAGCTGCCTCTTGCACACCCCCTACTGGGAATCTGCCCGCAACCAAGGTACATGCCCTTGACCGGAATTGAACCCGGGACCCTTCAGTCCCCAAGCCGACGCTCTATCCACTGAGCCAAACTGGTCTTGGCATTAATTTTAAATTTTTATTGATTGATTTTATTTTTTAAAAAATATATATTTTATTGATTTTTCACAGAGATGAAGAGGGATAGAAAGTTAGAAACATCGATGAGAGAGAATCATCGATCAGCTGCCTCTTGCACACCCCCTACTGGGGATGTGCCCGCAACCAAGGTACATGCCTTTGCCCGGAATCGAACCCGGGACCTTTCAGTCCGCAGGCCGACGCTCTATCCACTGAGCCAAACTGGTCTTGGCATTAATTTTAAATTTTTATTGATTGATTTTAGAGAGAGAGAGAAAGAGAAGGGAGAGAGAAGCATTGATTTATTTTATTTTATTTTTTTAAATATATATTTTATTGATTTTGTACAGAGAGGAAGGGAGAGAGATAGAGTCAGAAACATCGATGAGAGAGAATCATTGATCAACTGCCTCCTGCACACCCCCTACTGGAGATATGCCCGAAACCAGGGTACATGCCCTTCACCGGAATCGAACCCGGGATCCTTCAGTCCCCAAGCCGACGCTCTATCCATTGAGCCAAACCAGTTTCGGCAGCATTGATTTATTGTTGCACTTATTTATGCATTCGTTGGTTACTTCTTGTATGTGTGCTGACCAGAGATAAACCTGCAACCTTGGTGATCCCATCCACGCTCTAACCAACTGAGATACCCAGCCAGGACTGTACTGTGCTTTTTATTTTATTTTATTTTTAAAATATATTTTATTGATTTTTTTATGGAGAGGAAGGAAGTGGGATAGAGAGCTAGAAACATGGACCAGCTGCCTCCTGCACACCTCCCACCGGAGATGTGCCCGCCACCAATGTACATGCCCTTGACCGGAATCAAACCTGAGACCTTTCAGTCCGCAGGCGGACGTTCGCTCTATCCACTGAGCCATGCCACCGGCTATACTGTGCTTTTCAATATGTTTGGCATTTTGCAACCTATGATTACTATTCTCAACTAATATGGCACTTTTTGCTTTATGAACCTGAGTATTGCATCTCAGAGGCGCGCCTCCCGCTGAGGGGCCGACCCCAGGGAAATCCAGATGCAGAACGCAGATGCATTATCCCCTAGCAGCTCCACCCGCGCCTAAAGGGTTACGGGAGAGAGCGCGTCCCCACGCCTACGCACGACGTCGCTTCGCCCCGCCCCCGCAGCGCAGTCAGATGATCAGCTCAACCGGCGCTGGCCTATAAAAGGTCGGGTGTTGACGTCAGCGTTCTCTTCCGCCCGCGTCGCCGCATCTTCGGCGCGATTCCCTTCTCTCGGATCTACCTGGGAGAATCCACCGCCATCCGCCACCATGGTAAGCAATACCGTCTCGCTGGGGGCCTAGAGCGGTGGCGGGGCCTCTGCGGGGCCGGCGTTGCCGGGTCTGGAGTGGCTGGGGCCGGTTGGGCAGGAAGGAGGAGACATGGCGGTGGCCCGGCTGGCGGGCCTGGGGTTGGGAAAGCGGCGGCCGCCATGTCTGCGCCGTGCTGCTCGCTTCCGAGGGCGCCCCGGTCTCACGGGACTCGGGGCCCGGCTGGAGCTGGGGCGGAGGCGGGGTTGGGTGTTAATGATGATGTGGCAGATGCTGTAATGGCGGGCGCCGCCTGGGCAGCGGGGAGACGGGGAGCCGCCTTATGTAACCCACCCACCGGGAGTTTTAAGTTCGACTTTGTGTCGGGAACAGGGAAACGGCAAAACCGAGAAGGCCAAATCCCAAAAGCCTTTTCCTAATGTTGGCCTGGCTCCTTCACTGTGTGTGTATCGCCCAATGGTGAAGCGGACTCGAGCCACGAGGTGGAGGCTCGCAGTGCGCAAGCTTCTCACCAGACGGGGGTGGTGGTGGCATATTTAGGAATGTGAAGAGTTGGGTGGCCCTGTCTTACCCCAGGCGGAAGGGTGACCTTCGGGTTTCAAGAACCCTTTTAGTTGGATAAAGCATGAGAAACCCCAGTGGCAATAGGGGGGAGGGTTTGGGGGGGGAGCTTTATACCGTCTATGTTTTTTAATTGCAAACACGTCACTCCACCTACAGGAAATTGGTTGTCATTAGTCCCAGCCCCAGATTCTGGGTTGTCACTTCTAAGTGACAACTAGAAATCTGGGTTTTCAGAAATGGGACTAGTGGCATTTTTAAAGGGGTATCAGCAGCAGAGACTGGGGAGTTTGGGTGGGAGTTGGGGTTGTCAGCCCCCTCCTGGCCACGGTGCTGGCAGTATATCGATTATGGTCTTAGTGCCAAGCCTGGTTCCTGGACCCACCTGAGCCTCCCCTTCCCCCATCCTAGGTGAACTTCACAGTAGATCAGATCCGGGCCATCATGGACAAGAAGGCCAATATCCGGAACATGTCCGTGATCGCTCACGTGGACCATGGCAAGTCCACGCTGACGGACTCCCTGGTGTGTAAGGCCGGTATCATCGCCTCCGCCCGGGCTGGCGAGACCCGCTTCACTGACACCCGGAAGGACGAGCAGGAACGTTGCATCACCATCAAGTCGACGTGAGCAAGCTCCGGTGCTCTTTGGACTGGGGAGGGGAGGTACTCTCCTGGAGCCTGGTGTGGAGGCAGACCTCAGACACAGTCTCTTTCCCAAGGGGCTTCTGGGAAGGAGTCTGGATTTTTGGATCATGAGGGACAATGAGCTTCAGTCTAGTGAGACAGGAAGCCCTGTAGCCAGGGAGAGACAGTGATGGGAGTGGTATTGGGACTTGCAGAGGAAGAGGGGCTTACCCCAGTGATTCCCCATTTCAGGGGGGGGAAGGACCTTTTGAAGTGTCTGGGAGTGGGCCCCCCCCCCAATGTCAGATTCCTGATCCCAGATGTCAGTGGGGTGAGAACCCAAAACAACGTGACTGAAATTGCTCTTTGTTTTCCATTGGGGACTTGTGAGCTTCTCTTCATCTGCTCTGAGACCATTTCCGCTGGGGTGAAGGGCACAGGGATGGGTGAAAGGTGGGTCTTCCCCGGTCATGTAGTTGCTATTTGGAATTAGGTGTGTGGAGCTTGGGAGGACCCATGCTGGGGACTGGACAGGTGGGCTCTCCCTCTGTAGCTGAAATTAGGGAGGTGGACAAAGGCTCTTTCCTGGGAGATCTGAAGTCTATCTCTAGGGAAGAGGAATGCAGTGGAGAAAGTGGTGCAGTGTTTGCTGAGGCTCTGGGTCTGGCTTATTATTACCACATACTGTGGTGCTTAGGGATTATTTGTCCTGACTGCCCTTGGGCAGGAACTCCAGGCTGACCTCTGCAGTTTGGGAGGACAGTAAAGAGCTATAGAATGGGATAGGTGTGCCTTTTGTTCAGCCAACCTGTCCCAATCTCCCTAGGGCCATCTCCCTCTTCTACGAGCTCTCAGAGAACGACTTGAACTTCATCAAGCAGAGCAAGGATGGTTCCGGTTTCCTTATCAATCTCATTGACTCTCCTGGGCACGTGGACTTTTCCTCAGAGGTGACAGCTGCTCTCCGGGTCACCGATGGTGCCTTGGTGGTAGTGGACTGTGTGTCTGGTAAGCAGCAGGTTTCCTCATCCCTGGCTGGGAACCTGGGGTGTCCCCTCTCCGGCTGATGAAAAATCTCTGTCCACCCCCAGGCGTGTGTGTGCAGACAGAGACCGTGCTGAGGCAGGCCATCGCAGAGCGCATCAAGCCTGTGCTGATGATGAACAAGATGGACCGGGCTCTGCTTGAGCTGCAGCTGGAGCCTGAGGAGCTCTATCAGACTTTCCAGCGCATTGTGGAGAATGTCAACGTCATCATCTCCACCTATGGAGAGGGCGAGAGCGGCCCCATGGGCAACATCATGGTAAGTGTGCTGCCAGCTGCCCTATTGCAAGCTCCCAGCTACCCCATTGCATTCCTCCTGTCCTTCCCACAGACTGGAAAGGGCTGTGACCTCCCTCTGCGGGACCCATAAGTCTGGTCCTTTGGGTCTTGGAGGGTCTGAAAGTTGGTTTTTCTAGGAATGTTGGGGTGACAGAAGGGCGCTGGAATGTTTTTAGTATTGACTTCTTCTAATACTTGAATTTTTGGGGAGGTTTTGGGGTAGGAGATACCCTGCCTGCTGAAGCAGGCTCAGGGCAGTCCCCTCTGTTACTGCTAACCCTTGCTGGTGGAGAAGATGAAGGCAGAGTTGGGCATCCTGTACATGATGACAAAAATTTCTTCACTTTGACCTGATGGCAATTGATGAAATCTGATGTCTGAAGCCCATGGCACCCAGGGACATGGTAGCTGGGGTTTCTGTTTGTCTCTTGTTCATTCACAGCTTTCTCTTGTTCTCTTAGATTGACCCTGTCCTCGGGACTGTTGGCTTCGGGTCCGGTCTCCATGGTTGGGCCTTCACTCTGAAGCAGTTTGCAGAGATGTATGTGGCCAAATTTGCCGCCAAGGGTGAGGGCCAGCTGGGGCCTGCTGAGCGGGCCAAGAAGGTAGAGGACATGATGAAGAAGCTGTGGGGTGACCGGTGAGTGCTGCGGGGTGGAGCAGGCCATTCTGGGAGGTGGGCGGGGACTTGGAGGTGATGCTGTGGCTCAGGAACACCTCATGTCTGTGGGGGAGCATTTTGTCTAACCTTGATTTAGGCACCCTAGCCTAATTGGGTTGGGCCTTCACCAGGTACTTTGATCCAGCCAATGGTAAATTCAGCAAGTCCGCCACAAGCCCTGATGGCAAGAAGCTGCCACGGACATTCTGCCAGCTTATCCTGGACCCCATCTTCAAGGTGAGCTGCTGCATGTGCTTGATGGATGTGCATTCCCTAGGCTGCCCTTGGGTCTAGTGGCTTCAGGCAGGGCCAGGTTCAAGGTGGCGGCTGGGATATTGGATCAGGCAGCAGCACAGTTAGGGTAAAATCTCCATGGCCATCAGCATCTCTGGCTGGGGTTGGTTAGGTGAGCTGAGACAGGGAGGTCTGGGTTTTGCTCTGCCAGCCTCTGGGGTTTCAGTGCATTGTTAGTTAAAATATTTTCATGGTCTGTAAGTCAGAATAGACTTTTCTTTCGATCTATTGGGCGATGTCCCCAAGACTTGCCCTGTCTGGGTCAAGTCCTTTGTGGTGGGGTGAGGAATTTAGTAACCTTGCCTCTGCTCTGTGCATGGCCTTAGGCTTCTCAGGAGGAAGCAGCTGCAGGCTTCCTAATATGTTCCCAAACTCCCAATTAGGTATTTGATGCTATCATGAATTTTAAGAAAGAGGAGACAGCAAAACTGATTGAAAAACTGGACATCAAGTTGGACAGTGAAGATAAGGACAAAGAAGGCAAACCACTCCTGAAGGTGAGCATGCGGGGCTGTCCAAGAGTCTCCACAGGGCTCCCTGCCAGAGCTGGGCTCTGGCTTTGCTGTTGGGAGCATTCCCGGCTGCAGCATGGCTGCCAGCAGGGGTGGACACAAGACCTCGGGTGTTGGCATGGCTCTTCTGGAGGGAACCGGGCATTTGAGTAACCTGGTGAGCACGTGATGCCGAAGGTTTTCCTCAGAATTGCCTCCTGACCCTCTGTGCAGGCTGTGATGCGCCGCTGGCTGCCCGCTGGCGATGCCCTGCTGCAGATGATCACCATCCACCTGCCCTCCCCCGTGACCGCTCAGAAGTACCGCTGCGAGCTGCTGTATGAGGGCCCCCCCGACGACGAGGCAGCCATGGGTATGTGGGATTCACATGGGTATCTGGGGGCCCCCAGAGCAGCCCGTGGTTAGAAGGTTGCTCATTGCCACGCTTAAGGCTCTTAGGATTCTGGAAGGCTGAACTCTAAGGGAATCGTGTTTTCTTTTCCTTTTTCCCGCCAGGCATTAAAAGCTGCGACCCCAAAGGGCCCCTTATGATGTACATTTCCAAAATGGTGCCGACCTCTGACAAAGGCCGGTTCTATGCCTTTGGTCGAGTCTTCTCAGGGCTGGTGTCCACCGGCCTGAAGGTCAGGATCATGGGTCCTAACTACACCCCAGGGAAGAAGGAGGACCTGTACCTGAAGCCGATCCAGAGGTGAAGTGCTTGGCTAGTCATTTGTGACCCAAGGCTGGTCCCAGCCCTCCCTCCCTGCTCCAGGCTGCGGGAGGAGTGGGAGGTCAGGGGGGTTTTACATGAAGTGCCCAGCAGGATGTAGTGTTGAGCCCTCTGGCCACCTTTTGTCCTCAACTTGGAGAGGCTTGTGGGGATGATGTACAACAGGAAGCAGGGGCTTGCTCCCCCCAATAATCAGGGTAGAATCCGTCCCTGAGTTAGAGGCAAATGTTCTGAGCTCCCAGCAGTGGCAACACAGTTTATTGTCACCTACCCAAGAACGGGTGCTGACCTCAGAAATGCCAGTCTTCTGTCAGCCCTGCCCCTAACCCCACTCTAGGCGTTGGTGGTGGGAAGATAGAACGGGGATCCCCTCCTCATGGGTTGCCCACAGCACACTGCCTTTCTCAGTCTTGGGTCTGGTGTATGGAGCCTGCATGTGGGGGGGGGGGGAGAATGGCAGGTAGTGCTCCGTCTTGGTACACAGGAGCCAGCACTTTGCTGAGACAGTCCACCTGGGTTACAGTGAAGAGCCAAGGTTTGACATCTAGGGGGTGGCACCACCACTCAGTGGAGGAGGGATGGCCACAGACTCAGAAGGAAGGGCTTTGTCTTCCAGCCATTCTGGGACCTGGCACCACAGTGGGGTTGCATTGATACCTTTTTTGTCTCTCCCCCAGAACAATCTTGATGATGGGCCGTTATGTGGAGCCCATTGAGGATGTGCCTTGCGGGAACATTGTGGGCCTGGTGGGTGTGGACCAGTTCCTTGTGAAAACAGGCACCATCACCACTTTCGAGCACGCCCACAACATGCGAGTGATGAAGTTCAGCGTGAGCCCTGTCGTCAGGGTTGCTGTGGAGGCCAAGAACCCGGCTGACCTGCCCAAGCTGGTGGAGGGCTTGAAGCGGCTGGCCAAGTCAGACCCCATGGTGCAGGTGGGCAGGCACCCTGGCAGGAGGCACCGCCACCCCCTGCAGGGTCAATTTGTTGGTGTCTGAGCTGAAAAGATTGGGTGGTTTCTCATATAAGGAGGGATTTCTAATTGGAACTGTTGGGAAATTCAGGTGTGTGTTAAACGCACACCTTCCCCCAAAGAGCTGTTGTCCCCACCCCCTATTTTTAACTTGTTTTTATTTTACTTCATGTTATTGATCTTTACAGAGAGGAAATGAGAAGGATAGAAACATCAATCAGCTGCCTCCTGCACACCCCCTACTGGGGATGTGCCCAAAACCAAGGTACATGCCCTTGATTGGAATCGAACCTGGAACCTTTCAGTCTTGTAGGCCTGTGCTCTATCCACTGAGCCAAACTGGTTTCGGCTATTGCCCTATTAAAAAATTTTTTATATTGTCTTCAGAAAGGGAGAGAGAGAGCAACATCAATGATGAGAATCTTTGATTGGCTGTCTCCTGTACACCCACACTGGGGATTGAATGTGCAATGTGGGCATGTGCCCAAGCTGAGAATCGAACCTTGATCTCTCTGGTTCATAGGTTTATGTTCAACCACAGATCCATGCTAGTAGGGCACTGCTGCTCTTTTTAAGAGTCTCATGCTCTACCGACTGAGCTAGCCGGGCACCCGACTGCTGCTCTTTTTAATGTCAGTGTATGGTCCAGGAACCCAGGTCTTGGATCTCTTTATTTTTTATTTATTTTTAAAATCAATCTTTATTCATATTATTACAAATTGGATCTCTTTAGACTGGCTATAGATGATGGGTCTTTTCTTTAGGTTAACAGAACAGCAAATAAAGGCTCATGTGACCCCTTGTCCCCCCCAACCTCTTCACGGGCCTTGAAAATGTCCCTAAAAACTTCCAATTAGAAGGGATGCTTGGAGCCTGCCATTCTCCACCCCCAATTTCTTGGGTTTTCTAAGTAGTTCTTTGGGTTCGATTCTTGGATTAACATACGGCCTCTTTCAGTGCATCATTGAGGAGTCGGGGGAGCACATCATTGCTGGGGCTGGTGAGCTGCACCTGGAGATCTGCCTGAAAGACCTGGAGGAGGACCACGCCTGCATTCCCATCAAGGTGAAGCATGTTGTTCCCAGTAGGGGTAGGGATGGATGGTGTGCAGGCATGGCAGAGCCTTGTCCTGGCTGGACTCTGATGATTCCCTCCTTTCCACCTACGCCTAAGAGAGAGTGTGACTTTGCCATGTGAAACCAGAAGTTCAAATAGATGCTCAATAGCTTCTGAGGTTGGAGTGTAGGGAGTCTGCTTTCCAGAATCTCCAAATACAAGCTGCTAAAGAGCATAGACATTTAGTAGCCAACCTTAGGCCCAGTTGCTGTCTCTGTTTTTCATTCTCCACTTTTTCAAATAATCGAGTTCGGATCTGTGTTCATTTAGTCCCTTAAACTGCATTCCCTTCATAGAAATACAAATCTTTTTTTTTTTTCTCTCAGTTAACTGCATTTTCATCTTGCCTTCCATGTGTCAAAATAGGATTAGGCTAGTGCCTACATTTTGCACATTGGTTCTTTTATGCAGTTTTCATGTAATAACTGCATAGCATTTCACAAGATGAATTATTCTTTAGCCAGTCCTATTGGCAGTGGGTAGCCCCTTGCAAGGGAAGAGCTGCATACTGTGTATTTATACAGAAGTGAGATGTGCATGACTCTGCCACTAAATTAAACTAGTCATTCTGATTTTTGTGCCCATTGCCAGTCTGTTTCCTGAGTCTCATTAGGAGGCCCCTCTTCTGGGCGGTCACTTCCTCCTGCAGGCCTGACTTCTGTGCTTCTTTTGCAGAAATCCGATCCTGTTGTCTCCTATCGTGAGACAGTTAGCGAGGAGTCGAATGTGCTCTGTCTGTCCAAGTCTCCCAATAAGCACAATCGACTGTACATGAAGGCACGACCCTTTCCTGATGGCCTGGCTGAGGACATTGACAAGGGTGAAGTGTCTGCCCGCCAGGAGCTCAAGCAGCGGGCCCGCTACCTGGCTGAGAAGTATGAGTGGGATGTGGCTGAGGCACGCAAGATCTGGTGCTTTGGGCCTGATGGCACTGGGCCCAATATCCTTACTGACATCACCAAGGGTGTGCAGTATCTCAACGAGATCAAGGACAGCGTAGTGGCTGGCTTCCAGTGGGCCACAAAAGAGGTGAGGGGCCACTTGGTCATCCAGCTGGAAAATCATTGGCATCGGAGTCTATCAGTGGGACTTGGGCACAGGCCCAGGCTCACCAGTGCAGACTTGGTGGGAATGGGATTCTTGGGGTTACCTGTTTTCATTTCTGTTAGTGAAGTGGAACAGACCTCCTGACAGGGTACGCTAGGGAGGAGGGTGAGTTGGCAAGAGATATAAAGATACAAGGTCTCTGTGGTTGCAGACTTGGAAGCTGGCATGGGCACAGCTGTGTGATTTGGCCTTACCCTCTCAGGCAGCAGTAGAGGTAGGAGCTTGATGGTGATTTTGGCCACTTCCTTTTTAGGGGGCACTGTGTGAGGAGAACATGCGCGGTGTACGCTTTGATGTCCATGATGTGACACTGCATGCTGATGCTATCCACCGAGGGGGTGGCCAGATCATTCCTACAGCCCGGCGCTGCCTCTACGCCAGCGTGCTGACGGCCCAGCCCCGACTCATGGAGCCCATCTACCTTGTGGAAATCCAGGTAGGAAGTCCTGATTGCCCTGCTGCTATTGGTCTCCATCCTACTTAGCAACTGTTAAATAGCCTTTTATTGCCTGACAGTGTCCAGAGCAAGTGGTTGGTGGTATCTACGGAGTCCTGAACAGGAAGCGGGGCCATGTCTTTGAGGAGACCCAGGTGGCTGGCACCCCCATGTTTGTTGTGAAGGCCTACCTGCCTGTCAATGAGTCCTTCGGTAAGTGCTTGCTGGGGTGGCTCTCAAATGCCTGCAGTCCACTGTCCTCCAGCCAGACTGATTAGGATAGACTCCTTTCTTGCCCTTATGCAATGCCTAGAGTGAGCCAGCCTCTGGGGACCATGGATATAATCTGCAAACTGCTCCCACTCCCCTGTCCATTTGGGATGTAAAAGCAGCATGGTTATGTAGGAAGAGAAGGTGGCCCACTTACTGAGGAACTTTGAATTGAATGGGTGAGGGGTGAAAGTGGTTACTCAGGTGTATAAATTTGTGAGATGGTAAGATCCAGTCTGGCAGGAAAGTAGCTCAGGCTCACCCTCAGGGTGAACAGCTGGAAAGTGAGGTGGGCCAGCATTACTTGGCTTGTTCAGCAGTGCTCTCTGAGCAAGCCTGGGTGAGGAGCAGGATTAGGGGTTTTAATGTCTGATTCTATCTGAGTTGTTTAGTTTCTGATCTCTGTGGTGTGAGCATCTCCATCTCCAGGGGTTGGCCAGGGTGCCAGGTCTGGACTGCCCAGCGAGCCCTGTACCTGCTTCTCCCACAGGCTTCACCGCCGATCTGAGATCCAACACAGGCGGCCAGGCTTTCCCGCAGTGTGTGTTTGACCACTGGCAGATCCTGCCTGGAGACCCCTTTGACAACACCAGCCGCCCCAGCCAGGTGGTGGCCGAGACACGTAAGCGCAAAGGCCTGAAGGAAGGCATCCCAGCTCTGGACAACTTCCTGGACAAATTGTAGGTTGCCCTTCCTGCAGCCACCCAGGTGCCATCCCCCTCACCGGCTCATGATCAACCACAACAAGCCCTCATTCTCCACAACATCTTCAGACTGTCCAGACACAGTGCCGCTCGCCTGGCTGGTTCTGGGGCCACTCTGTGCCATCGCTCAACATGAACACTTGATGCTGTTTATTTATTTCAAGATTCAGAGGCAACAGAAATGCCCTGGCTACAGGGACTTATTTGGCTGGTGGGGGAGGTGGAATGGGACACCCAACACTTCTTTCCATTTCTGAGGAAAACTCAAATGTCCAAAAAAAGAAGAAAAAAAAGAATTAAAACGCATTAAGAGGTTTATTTGGGTAAATGGTCCACAGTGGATTTTCCCCCAGAAAGGGGGAAAGAACAAACAGGTAGACATTTCTGTTTGGACAGAAGCTAGAAGGCAGGAAATTTTGTGCAATGTCACCATGAGCACCTAAAAGATGTATTAGTGCCATTGGAATAATAAATTTGATTATGGTGGTGATTGCCTTTGTCTGTTGACTTCCTTCTCAGTTCATTCAGGCTGGAATGGACTTTCTTATGCTAGTATACATTTCATAAAACACTTGAAAATTTACAAAAAGTTCAATGTAAGTAACATTGAAATGTCAGTTCAAATGTAAGACCTGGGCCACCTAATGGAATTGGCTGTAATGGTAAACCAGTTTCAACTATGCAGAGAGGCAGCCACTATCTCCACTTGGCTAGACAGCCGTGGAAATGTCAGTGTAGCCATGGAACTGATATTTTAAGATTTCTTAAAATTGGTTTTTAGGCAGCAAGGTGGGGAGAGAAACGTCGATCAGCTGTACCACACCCCATGACCAATCTGACAACCTGCTGCAAAGCAGAAAATCCAATCACCTGAGCTACACTAGAAAGGGGGAGGAAATAATAGTTTTAACATTGCAGTTTCATGGTTTGGTGGTGGTGGGGCTTGGTGCAACTAAATTGTCCCTGCTCGTGGAGTCCATGGTCCAATGGGGGGAAGCCACATAACCACACTTATTACCACACAAGTTCTCTTGTCCAGTTAGACCCTGGACCCTTGGCATCAAGAAGTCCCACCAGATCATGTTGTAGAGGATTTTTTGCCATTATCTCAATCATTGCTTCACTAAAATATACTTGAGTAATTTCATACCTACAAAGAAGTTATATTGATGCTAGATAACCTCTTACATAACTTTTTATCAAACCGAAAACATTGGACTAATGTCCTTTTTTTTAGGATCCAATCCAGGATATCACATATTTTGATTTTTTTTAATATATATATATATATATATATATATATATATATATATATATATATATATTTTTTTTTACAGAGGAAGAGGGATAGAGAAAAACATTACTAAGAGATTCATCTGCCGAGACCGGTTTGGTTCAATGGATAGAGCGTCGGCTTGGGGACTGAAAGGTCCCGGGTTTGATTCTGGTCAAGGGCATGTACCTTGGTTGCCGGCATATCCCCAGTGGGGGGTGTGCAAGAGGCAGCTGGTCGATGACTCATCGATGTTTCTAGCTCTCTCTCCCTTCTTCTCTGTATAAAATCAATAAAATATATTATAAAAAAAAAAAAAAAGATTCATCAGCTGACTCTTGCACACCCCCTACTGGGGATGTGCCTGCAACCAAGGTACATGCCCTTGACCAGAATCGAACCCAGCACCTTTCAGTCCACAGGCTGATGCTCTATATCCACTGAGCCAAACCGGTTTTGGCTTATTAGCTGATTTTAATTGTTATTTTTTGTGGTTGCATTGGGCCAGCAGTTCCCAATCTTTTGGCATCAAGATCCCTGTATACTCAAATATTGAGGACCCCAAAGAGCTTTTGTTAAAATGGGTATATTTACTGATATTTACCATATTTAGAAATTAAAACTGAAGCTTTATTTAAAAATGATAAACTCATGTCAATTTTTTTTTTTTTTTTTTTTGCAGGGTTTGGGGGGGCGGGAACCTATTTTCCAAACAAAATATAGTAACATTTTTTGCAAGTCTTTGAAATCTATGGCTTAATAGAAAACTGCTGGAGTCCCATCTGCTTCTGCATTGTCTGTTTTAATACATTGTTTTGTTGAATTTTAAGTAGGTAACCTAGCCTCAGTCACCCCATACTTGAAAAAAGAGCATCTTAATACTTGTTTTCAGATAGATATTCTTTGCTGCAACACCGAAACTCGACAAGCAGTAGTTTCTTAAAGATTAATTACAACGTGATATCTGAAACCATATTAATGAGCTTTTCATACTGTTACATTAAAATCCATTGGTCTGTCTTGCACTTTATGGAAACACTGGTCAACTAAGTTTGCAGCTTTGAAGTGTTGATACATTTCATAAACACTAGAAAATTCACATTTATTAATTTCATCAGGAAAGTGTTAAAGTGAAGCTCAGGTTTTGAAAATGTTGTTTTTTTGCTTGAAACCTCAAATTTTGTCATTGGTAATACTGTCAATTATCCTTGAATTGACAAGCTTGATTTGTTCATTTTTTTTTTTTAGAAAATGCATGCCAAACACAAGTCTGAATTACTAGTTTGTCGGGTTTCTTCAAGTAAGAATGTTCCAACTCCTCATTCATTAAGTGTGTGTTATGCATCAATAGCTTCCCAAAGAATACAGTGTAGAAGTGGAGAAAAATGTAACTTTAAGAGAAACATGATATCGATGCCCAAACTGATTTGGCTCAGTGGTAGAGCGTCCATCTGAGGACTGAAAGGTCCCAGGTTCGATTCCGATCAAGGGCATGTACATTGGTTGCGGGCACATCCCCCGTAGGGCGTGTGCAAGAGGCAGCTGGTCGATGTTTCTCTCTCATCAACATTTCTAGTTCTCTATCCCTCTCTCCTCTTTGTAAAAAATCAATAAAATATATTAAAAAACAAAACAAAACAAAAAAACATGACATTGAGTTCCAGGTAACCAAGTTCAACATCAACAGTGATAAGTTATGTTGATAGTTGATGAAGAGAATGGCACTTTACATTTGGTCTTAAAAACCTCTCCACTCTACTGAGAAAATTGTATCAGTCACAATTGAGGAAAAGGCTACAAAATACCTGACCAATCCTAAAAACTCAGTTATCAAAAACAGAAGTGAGTCCTAGCCGTTCTGACTCAATGGTTAGAATGCCCACTCACCAGAGGGTCTCTGGTTTGATTCCCAGTCAAGAACATATGCCTTGGGTTGCAGGTTCTATCCAGGCTGCAGTCGAATTCAGGAGGTAACCAATCGATATGTCATATTGATGTCTCTTCCCCTCCCCCCTTTCACCTTCCTCCCTCTCTTAAAAAAAAAAAAAAATCAATGGAAAGATTATTCTTGGGTGATGATTAACAAAACAAAGATCAGGGAAGTGAGAAAACTAATAGCCAAGAGCCTAAGGAGATGTCACAACTAAATTGTGGGATCATGAGAGAAAAAGGACAGGGAAAACCAGGAATCGGAATTGTGGACTTTTTTTTTTTTTATATTTTTTATTGATTTTGTACAGAGAGGAATGGAGAGAGATATAGAGTTAGAAACATCAATGAGAGAGAGTCATTGATCAGCTGCCTCTTGCACACCCCCTACTGGGGATATGCCCGCAACCAAGGTACATGCCCTTGACTGGAATCGAACCCGGGACCCTTCAGTCCCCAAGCTGACGCTCTATCCATTGAGCCAAACCGGTCTCGGCTGGACTTTTCTTAATAAAAATGTATCAAGCTTGGTTCATCAGTTGTAAGAAAAGTATATGCATTGAAGATGTAATAGTAGGGGGAAAATGGGTTTGGGAGAAGGTGCTTTTGCTGTGTGCTGAAGTGTGCATAGGAGTTAGACAAGAATGGAAGAGGGCAATCTCTGGGCAGAAGCAGCAGCTCATGCCAAAATCTAGGGCAGGAAGGAGATGTTTGAGGTCAGAAGGAAGGCAAATGGGGTTGGGGAGAATGTCAAGAGGTTAGGGCAGTCGGCAAGGGCCAAAATATAAAGGGGCCCTTGTTTGATGGCATCTGAGGTGGATGAGCATTGATTGTGGATTAAAGTCCATCTGGGAATGAATTTCATCTACGCTACTTATTTCTGCCTTTTGGTTGGGTTACCTAACCTCTCTAGGTGTTAGTTTCTGTAGAAAGGAAGAAATTTTGATATATTTTAACTCTGTTTGCTGATAGGTACATACTAAGGCTCAGTAAATGCTAGCTTTTAAAAATATATATATATATTTTATTGATTTCAGAGAGGACAAAAGAGGGAGAGATAGAAACATCAATAATGAGAATCATTGATTGGCTGCCTATGCACGATGGAGCCGGCAACCGGGGCATGTGCCCTTGACCGGAATCTAACCTGGGACCTTTCAGTTTGCAGGTCGCGGCTCTATCCACGGAGCCAAACCAGCAAGGGCGCTATCCTTTTTTTATCCATGTATCTTGAGACAGACAGGAGTCACAAAATGGCAACATAAATGGCAATATTTGACTGACCTCCTCATATGCATTTTTATTTATGTATTTGGAATGTGGGTAGCATTTTACTGCCACTCAGGGAAAGCAGCCCGGGAGCCCACGCCAGCAGCTGCCACTGCCGGAACTAGGCCTTGGATTCCGTGTTTTGTGGCCCAGGAAAGGCAGGAAGCGGGATGCAGGACTTCAGCACCCCGCCTCCCAGCTTCCGAACCCCCGTCAGAAGAGAGCATAAGTTTGACCGGCGTTCATTACGGCCAATCGGCAGCATGAAGGCAAGCCTGTAGGCCAATGGCGAGGCGGCGTCCGGGTGTGGATAGCCGGACGCCAGAGGGCCTCGGCCTGGAAGGCAGCAGAGGGCGGGGCGTCGCGAGTGGCGGGCGCGCTGACCAATGGGCGGCGGACTCCTCTTCTCAGGGCGGGGCTCTGGCAGACGCGGTGACGTCGGCGCTGGTCAGCGCGCTACGGGCAGCGGCGCGGCGAAGGGGACGGCGGGGCTCCGGGCTGTGGGAGGTGAAGAGCGGGTTCCGTTGGAGGTCTGCGGGTATGGAGAACTGGATGGGGCGTTTGGAGAGCGGTAAAGGGTCCGGGCTTGCAAGGGGCGTGGCGGCCTCGGGGTAGTGGAGCGGAGACATTACGGGACCCTTGGAGCTACCTATGACTGGGGGCTATCAGGGTCTGCCTTGGAGCTTACGCGTAGGTTGGGGGCGAAGGACAATGGAGGAGACAGATTTGCGGGCCCCATTTGGGGTGAAGGAGACAGTGGCTTTGAGGAGAGGGAGGAGGTTAACCTTGCCAGGACGGTGAAAGTCAGGGGCAGGCAAGAATGGGTAGGAGGCTTGCAAGCGTTTGGAAGCCATTGCCCATTTCCTGGGGAATTGAAGACTCGGGGAGCACACCGCTGAGGAGGGTCTCGGGAGACTAGCCGAGGTGTGGGGGCAATGGGTGAGGGCGAAGAGGAGTTGAGATGGCTGATGGGCAGGAAGGCTGAGAGCGTGTTGAGGCTAGAACTAGGAAGTTGGGCAGGGAGTGAGGGAGTTCAGGGCTTGGGGCTGTGACATATGTGGGGGAACTTTTAGGGATGTGTGGGGGCTCTGGAAGAAGCCTAGGAGTGTGAGGCAGAGAAGGGCTAGGGCAGTGTGTAAGGAGGTACATGGCTGGTGGGAGTGATGGGAGCGAGGTGGCACAGGGGGGCTGGCCGACTCCGCGACCTTGTGGGTTGTTTGGTGTGAAAACGAGATGATACATGCAAGTGCCCTTCCTGGAAACCGTGGACCTTCAGCGTGGAGTGATATGAAACCCATGGTTGGTGAGCAGGTTGCTCTGTTTGCCAGGAATTATGGCCAGCACCTCACTCTTTCTTTCCTATTACCCTGTATCCTCCAAGGTCACGTGGGAGGGGACTTCCCGAGGTCCTGTCCCCAGGCTGTGTGACTGGGCTTTCACCGGAGCGGAAGGTGCTGGAAGGCAGACCGTTGACCATGTCCACATTCAGGCAGGAAGATGTGGAAGACCATTATGAGATGGGGGAGGAGCTGGGCAGGTGAGTAGACCCCTCTAACAAGGCTCTCCGGGGTTTTCTGGACAGCATGTCCCCTTGTGTCCTGTATCCTACCTTCCAAGAAGTGAGTCAAGTTCATGTGCTGGTGGAATGAGTTTGGGCCTTGGAATCAGACATTCTGGCTTAGAGTCGTTGCTCTGACATCCTTTGTGCATTTCCTTTGGGAAGAAACATAATTGAGTACATATGGCATCTAACACAATGCCTGGCATATGTAGCTGTTAGCAGGTTTAGTTGGCAGAGGTCTGTCCCTCTCCTTAATCCTCTCTTATGGGGAGTACTTGAGTCCCTCAGCTCTTGGCATTTCCAGGGAAGGCCTCCTGTCTGGGCCCCATCTCTTGCCAATTGTGTGGCATTCTTATGGGAGAGATAGGTTTCTCTTGCCAGCCAGGCAGCTGACTTCCTGCCTGGCTGGGCCTCCTGCCTGGCTGGGCCTTGGATTGTCCCTTGGGAGCTTGCTCCCCAACTTGCCCCAGACCAGCCAGGCCCCCCCCTCTTTACCCCGCCATCCCCAGCCTGAAACCTTATTTGGTGAGTTTGCTGCTGGCCAAGGCCCCATGATGTCACCAGAAGGGAATGTAAATAACTGAGCCAGGCACCAGGCCTTTGCAGGCTCCTTTGGGATTCTGAAGTCTGTCCTTTAGGAATTTCCTCTGTTTTGAATGGTAAGGAATGATGTCTCTCTCTCTCCCCCTGCCTCCCAATCTCAAACTTTATTGTTGAAAATGGCCCTGACCGGTTTGGCTCAGTATTTCAGGCCTGCAGACTGAAAGGTCCCAGGTTCAATTCCGGTCAAGGGCATGTACCTTGGTTGCAGGCACATCCCCCGTAGGAGGTGGGCAAGAGGCATCTGATCGATGTTTCTCTCTCATTGATGTTTCTAACTCTCTAGCCCTCTCCCTTTCTGTAAAAAAAAAAAATTAAAAAAATCAATAAAATATATTAAAAAGAAAAGAAAATGTATGAGGCTCTCCTGCTGAGAATTGTTTGGCAAAAATCAGCAAAATGTCATATGTATATTCTCTTAAACTCACTGATTCCACTGAATTAATTCAGTGGGAATATATACATACATGGCTCAATGACTTGGGAACAGGAATGGTTGTGATAAAGATTTTATATGAGCAACAAATGGGAAGCCTCTTTAGTGGTCCTCACAGCCCCTTCATGGGTGGGTGGAGTGTTGTGCAGCCATTGAAAGAGCAGGCAGCCCTGGCTAGTGTGGCTCAGTTGGTTGAAGCATCATCCTGTACACCAAAGGTCTTGCAATTAGTTCCCAGCCAGGGCACATACCTAGGTTTCAGGTTCATTCCTTGGGGTGTGTGTAGGAGGCAAATGGTTGATTTTTCTTTCTCACATTGATGTTTCCCGCCCCCCCCCTCCCCCCCATTACCCTCTCTAAAAGTCAATGAAAAAAACAACAGAAGAGTTAGGCAACTTTTAAAAAATATATATATTTTATTGATTTTTTACAGAGAGGAAGAGAGAGGGATAGAAAGCTAGAAACATTGCCGAGACCAGTTTGGCTCAATGGATAGAGCGTCGGCTTGGGGACTGAAGGGTCCCGGGTTCGATTCTGGTCAAGGGCATGTACCTTGGTTGCGGGCACATCCCCAGTAGGGGGTGTGCAAGAGGCAGCTGATCGATGACTCTCTCTCATTGATGTTTCTAACTCTCTATCTCTCTCCCTTCCTCTCTGTACAAAATCAATAAAATATATTTTTAAAAAAATAATAATAATTTGAGAGGAAAGAAGAGAGAGAAACATAGATATGAGAAAAACATGGATCGGTTGCCTCCTGCATGCACCTGGACCGGGGATTGAACCCTTAACCTGGGTATGTACCCTGACCAGGAATCAAACCCACTACCACCCTTTGGTGTCTGGGCCAACCAACTGAGCCACACCGGCCAGGGAGCGTGAGACGTTCTTTCCACGTGGTCAGGTGTCCTTTCTTCCCATCGGAGGGAAGCATGGCTTCCCCTACCTGCAGCCTCCGGGCTCTTTCCCCTGCATCCAGGGAAGGAAGATGGCGTTTCTGGTGTGGCTGTGTGGCGGCGGTGGCGGCTGCAGCCAGAGTTTGGCGCGATGTCACACCATTTTGCTGGCCCAGCCTACCAAGAGACCAGAAGGCAGAACTTATGCTTATTATGAATCAGTGAATGAGTGCGTGGAAGGTGTTTGTAAAATGTATGAAGAACATCTGAAGAGAATGAATCCCAACAGCCCCCATATGAGATCAGCCAGTTGTTTGATTTTATTGATGATCTGGCAGACCTCAGCTTGGGCGAGTCTATTTTGAAGAAGGGGCATTAGAAGTTTCAGTTTAAAAAATGTGGCTTTCAAAAGAAATTTCAATCGTTGTACTGTTGATATTTGGCTCTGTTGACTAATGAGTTTGCCAACCACTGGTCCAGAACATTCTCAGCGATAAATGAAGTGAAAGATTAATGACACATATCACTGCATACCATGTTGCAATTTGTATAAATTGTAGTTGTCCTTTGGACATCTGAGTTTGTTTTTTTGTGTGTATTTTTTTTGTAATATATATTTTATTGATTTTTTATAGAGAGGAAGAGAGAGGGATAGAGAGCTAGAAACATCGATGGGAGAGAAACATTGACCAGCTGCACCCTGCACACCCCTTACTGGGGATGTGCCCACAACCAATGCATATGTCCTTGACCGGAACCTAACCTGGGACACCCCCGCCCCCCAGTCCGCAGACCGACGCTCTATCCACTGAGCCAAACCGGCCTTGGCCTTTTTTTTTTTTTAAATTGATTTCAGAGAGGAAGGGAGGGGGAGAGAGCGATAGAAACATCAATAATGAGAGAGAATCATTGACAGATTGACAGCCTCCTTCATGCCCCCCACTGGGTTACAAACCCACAACCTGGAATTGTGCCCTGACCAGGTATCAAGCCATGACCTCCTGGTTCATAGGTAGACAGATGCTCAACCTCTGAGCCACACCAGCTGGGCTCCATTGATTTTTAGAGAGAGCAGGAAGGAGGGAGGGAGAGAGAAACATCAATGTGAGTGAGACACATTGACTGTTTGCCTCATGCACCCGCCCTAACAATCTAACTACTGAGCAACACCAGCCAGGGTGCTTTTTTATTTTTTTAAAGGGTTGTAAGAACACGGAAAGATTGTGACAGAGACCACAATTGTGTATGTGGCCCATACAGCTTAACATATTTACTGTTTGACCTTTTTAGTCAACTTCTGAGTTAAAGCAAGTTATTTTGCTACCTAGGAACTTATCTAGTAAGTTCCTAGGTAGCAAAATAGTTTGACTCAGTGGATAGAGCATCAGTTCGAGCAGGAGGCAGCTGAGCAATGATTCTCATCATTGATGTTCTATCTCTCCCTCTCCCTCTCAGAAATCAATAAAAATATATTTTAAAACAATAGCGTGGACATTGGATAGCTCTCTGGAGTGTAGTACATAGAAATTATCTCTCTTAAATAACAGCTATCTTGCTCTAGCCAATTTGGTTCAGTGGATAAAGAATTAATGTGGATTGAAGAGTCCCAGGTTCGATTCTGTTCAGGGGCATGTACATTGGTTGTGGGCACATCCCCAGTAGGGGATGTGCAGGAGGCAGCTGGTCAATGTTTCTCTCTCATCGATGTTTCTAGCTCTCTATCCATCTCCCTTCCTCTCTGTAAAAAATCAATAAAATATATTAAAAAAAAAAAAGTTGAATCAGTATGGAATTGTATCAAATAAATAAGAAACCCTCTGTGCTGCCCTTAGTTCCTCCATCTCAGTCCTCGGAGATGACAATTGTTAACAGCTTGATGTGTGTCTTTCAGACCTTATTTTCTACATAGACATACATAAATATATCTGTATGTATGGATACAATATATACTATTTAAACAAAAAGATCTCATTGTAGGTGTCACTTTGCAGGTGATTTTTTTCACTGAGCTTAAAGAGTTGCCTTCATTCTTTTTCATGATGGTATAAAATTCCACTGGATTTATTTCCATGATGGATTTCAGTCCCCTCTTGGTAAACATTGAGCTGTTTTTATTTTGTTGACTGTTGCAAAAAATGCCAGACAGCCATTGTGTCTTGTACACTTTGCATAGCAGCATACCCGCGGGGTACATCTTGGACGCAGTGGGGACTTGCATCTACACGGTGCCCCAGGAGATGGTGGCGGGACTAGGTCCCTCTTGATGCTCTGATCACCTCCCTTCTCCTCTGTCCCCGCAGCGGCCAGTTTGCCATTGTGCGGAAATGCCGGCAGAAGGGCACTGGGAAGGAGTACGCAGCCAAGTTCATCAAGAAACGCCGCCTGTCATCCAGCCGGCGGGGGGTCAGCAGGGAGGAGATCGAGCGGGAGGTGAACATCCTGCGGGAGATTCGGCACCCCAACATCATCACTCTGCATGACATCTTTGAGAATAAGACCGATGTGGTGCTCATCCTGGAGCTGGTTTCCGGCGGGGAGCTCTTTGATTTCTTGGCTGAGAAGGAGTCGCTGACAGAGGATGAGGCCACTCAGTTCCTCAAGCAGATCCTGGACGGCGTCCACTACCTACACTCCAAGCGCATCGCCCACTTTGACCTCAAGGTAAGCCCCCCTGGGAAGCTCTGGACCAGCCTGGCTGGCCGGGGCAGGTGAGGATGGGGGCTCCGAGAGGGTTCTACTCTCATGGGCACAGAATGTACACCTCCTGGACCTGTGATGCTCTGGAAGTTGAGGAGAGGGACCTGCTCAGCTGGACCCTCAGGGTGGCATCAGCCTGGCCACACCCCACGGCTGGGAGTTGGGGGGTGCCTAGGGAAATTCCAGGTGCTGTTCCCAGAGGTGCCAGGCCGGCAGAAGCAGCAGATCCTCTTCCCACTGCCCTGCTCTCCCTTCCCCAACCCAGCCCGAAAACATCATGCTCCTAGACAAGAACGTGCCCAACCCACGAATCAAGCTCATTGACTTTGGCATCGCTCACAAGATTGAAGCCGGGAACGAGTTCAAAAACATCTTTGGCACCCCAGAATTTGTCGGTAAGGCCCTGCCTGGTGCATCAGGGGTTGGGGCTTGGGTAGGTCAAGGATTTCCAGCAAGGGTGAGTTGGGCCTAGTCCCTGGATGTCGGACTCACTGCCTTCAGGTGCCCTGGCCTTGGGCAAGGGGAAGCTCAAGACCTCAGTATTTAGAGCATTGACCCACGTACCAAAGGGTTGCAGGTTCGATTCCTGATCAAGGGCACATTCCTGGGTTGTAGGTTCAATTCCCTGGCCCAGGAGGGGGCACTTGAGGGAGGCAACCAATCTATGTTTCTCTCTCTCTCTCTCTCTCTCTCTCGCTCTCGCTCTCGCTCTCGCTCTCGCTCTCTTTCTCTCCCTCTCTTTTTCTCCCTCTCCCTCCTTCCCCCTCCTCCCTCCCTCCTTCCTTTCCATTCTCTCTAAAAATCAATGGGAAAATATGACCTCGGGTGAGGATTACCAATAACAAAAAGAGTTGGGGTGGTGCTGTCACTGTCCCAACCTTCCTGCTTCAGAGCTGGCCTTGGGTGTGTTTTTGTGGGTGTTTCCTGAGTGACCACTTCAGGGGTGAGGGGAACCGTACCACTTCCCCTGGTTCTGTGCCCAGTGTGGCCTTAGATGCAACCAGTTCCTGACCCTGTGCCTTCTGTTCCCTGTCCCTGCAGCTCCGGAGATTGTCAACTATGAACCCCTGGGTCTGGAGGCGGACATGTGGTGAGTCAGGGGTGGCTATGGGGACCCAGGGCTGCTCAGTGCTGAGTCCAGCATACACACCTGGGACCACTCCTGGGAATCTGCCCCTACTCATCCCCAGGAGCTACAGGCGGGGGCATTGCCATCCCAGGGTCTTGGTGCTGTGGGGCATAGGCAGGGTGGACCATTGCCTTAGAATAGGGCTCAGCAAAATGCAGCCCAGCGGCCAGAACAGGCCTAGGAGCTCGAGGGATGGTCTCAGTGTTTTTTAAAGGGGCATTAAAAACAGCAGAGCCCTAGCTGGTTTGGCTCGGGGATAGAGTGTTGGCCTGTGGACTGAGGGGTCCTGGGTTCAATTCCGATCAGGGTACGAACCTCAGTTACAGGCTCCTCCTGGCTGGAGCAGGAGTCAACCAATCGATGTGTTTCTTTCACATCGATATTTCTCTGTCTTTCCGTCTCTCTTCCACTCTCCCTAAAAATCAATGGAAAATGTCCCCCGTTTATAAATCTCATGGGGTCCCTTAGAGATTAGGGGACACGTGCCCGTGGGGAAAGGAAGAGAAGGGAATGGCACAGGTGCTCCCAGAGGGAGACCTTCATTTCCAGGGGTTTTAAAGGCAGGGCATTCAGGGGAGGTGTTAAGGGAGAATCAACAGACTGTTCATCAGCTTTACGCTGATGTACCAAAAGGAGGGGAAATGGTCCTTGTTTCACTGTCCTAAGTGTGTGTGCTGTGGTCAATACATTATTGTTTACTTTTCTTTAAAAAAACAGCAACAACAAAAAAGTAGTTTGCAATCCTGCTGGCCCTATACTGGGTTCCCGATCTGCAGGGACTGTGGGGCCATGGTGCTGTTTGCCCGGCCCCCTCTGTGGCCCCTTTGAGCCTTGACAGGAGGGTGAGGCCACAGGTGTTTAAATAGCCAGTCCTGACACCCCAGGACAGGAGAAGGGGAGCGGGGCTGACAGACCTACAGCCTAGCAGGCCCAAGAGCCTTGGGCTTATAGCGCCCCCCTGTGGGCTCTGGGCCCCTGCTCTGTAGAAACTGGGAGTCAGGATGCTGCACCCCACAGCTAAGCTGACCTTTCTCTTCTCCTGTGTCCCCTTCTAGGAGCATTGGCGTCATCACCTATATCCTGTGAGTACCCGTCTGACACTTCCTGCTACCCCTCCTCTCCCATCATTATGTTTTAGGAAATTCCAAGGATTATGGGAGCCATGTATCCAAGGACCAGGCTGAAGACCAAATACATGTTCTCTTCCATAAGCCAGTGTCAGCTGCCCAGAGCCCCACAGGGGTGGTGGTGTGGCCCACTCAGTGCAGAGTACAGGCAGGCAGGTGACACCCGTGTCATCACCAGTGATGCATGCCATTGGCCGTGAGCTAGGTGGCATCAGCCAAGATTCTCTTGGAAAGTGACTGTTTTTCCACTGGAATCAATGTTCTGGGGCAGACGCTTTGAAATTGTGCATCTACATAGATACTTTGAGCTTCCACAGGGATTTTTTACTCACAGCTTTTAGCATCTGTCTAGCTGGATGTTGACCTCTTACTGCCTTCTGGTTGGCAGCCGGAGGGCAGCGGAGGGCTGGTTGGAAGGTCCAGGGGAATGCATGTGTGGGTTGGTTAGGGCTCAAGGTCCCCCTTCCTCTGCTGGCCCCGTCGTGAGCACTCCAGAGTTTGGGGGTAGCCCGGGCAGCCGCCTGGTGATGGAACAAACGCAGGGGACACTGAGCCCCACGTTTGTCTTCCAGTTTGAGTGGCGCGTCCCCATTCCTGGGTGAGACCAAGCAGGAGACCCTGACCAATATCTCCGCCGTGAACTACGACTTCGATGAGGAGTACTTTAGCAACACCAGCGAGCTGGCCAAGGACTTCATTCGCCGGCTGCTTGTCAAGGACCCCAAGTAAGCACAAGCCGGGCAGAGGGGTCAGGGAGCGGCCCTGAGGGAAGGCCAAGGCGTCTCCCTAGCATGGTGGTGCGGCCGAGGAGACGGCTCTCCGGTCACCACGTCTCTGTACCTGGCTCCTGCTTTGGGCTGGAGATAGCAATGGATGGCTTAGGTTGGCCCACACTGGGTCTTTAGAAGCTTTAATTCATTGCCAACTTCAAAATTGGGGTTTCACATGAAATTCCAGGTTGATATATATATATATATATTCCCCACCCCCCCCCAAGTTTTGGCAGCATAGAACCTCCATTCATAAGGAGGTGCTCTCTGTGGCTGCAGCCCTCCCTGTGTATTCTGCCCATTCTTGCTGCCTTCCCCGCCCCTCCTGTGGGTACCTGCCTTGTGAGTTGTTTGTTTTTTGATCCCAGCACTAGGTCTCGACCCTGTTAATCCCTCAGAGAATACTGAGAACCCAGAACCTATGCCCCCTAAGATGCCTCGACAGGCTCCTTGTGGTTGGCTTAGCAGAGAGGGTGCTCTGGATTGTGTGTATAATTTCAAGGTCATTTCATGGACTTGCTGCCAGGCTGGAAGGGTGAATGTAGGGGCTGGGGGTCCCCAGGGACAGGTGTCTGAGCCAGCCCTTGACAGGCTGCTGAGCAGAACTGAGGCAGGGAGAGCCAGGAAAACCCCTTCCCTGCCCGCTGCTCCAGGGGGGAGGGTGCAGATGGCACATATGACTAACCAGGGCTGGGGTGGGGGTGCTTTTCCAGGAGGAGAATGACCATCTCCCAGAGCCTGGAGCATTCCTGGATCAAGGTGAGGTGGGGGCTGCGCCCACTGAGGGAGGGTAGTTGTGACAAGCCCTCAGATCCAAGGAGGGTCCTTGAGTGGTGGGGTGGGCAGTGGGAGATGAGGTGCTCCCTGAATGGTGTCAGAGCCGTCTCACCGAGGCATCCGCTGGCATCCTTGGTCCCTCTCTGCACGCAGCAGGGCTCCCTCCCACAGGAACTTGCAGAGGGGTTCCTTCCAGGCCAAAGTTGGCAGCCTTCTGTAAAGGGCCAATCACTGTATTTTTTGCTCTGTGGTCCCTGGCATCACTATTCGGCTCTGCCTTCGTATCAAGAAAGCACTATGACCATATGCATGCAAATAAGCATGTCTGTGTGCCAACAAAACTTCATTCACAAAAGCAGGCGGAGGGCTGGATGCGGCCCTCGGTGGCTAGCCCCCTGCCCCCTGTTCCAGGCTGTGTTCTCTCTCCCCTGCAGGCCATCAGGCGGCGGAACGTGCGGAGGGAAGACAGTGGCCGGAAACCGGAGCGGCGGCGCCTGAAGACGGCCCGCCTCAAGGAGTACACCATCAAGTCCCATTCGAGCATGCCCCCCAACAACACCTACATCAACTTCGAGCGCTTCTCCAAGGTGCTGGAGGAGGTGGCGGCGGCCGAGGAGGGCCTGCGTGGGCTGGAGCACAGCCGGCGGCTCTTCCACGAGGACATCGAGGCCCTGACGGCCATCTACGAGGAGAAGGAGGCCTGGTACAGGGAGGAGAACGAGAGCATTGGCCAGGACCTGCGGCGGCTGCGGCAAGAGCTGCACAAGACCGAGGCCCTCCGGCGGCAGGCCCAGGAGGCGGCCCAGGGCGCCCTGCTAGGGGCCAGCGGGCTCAAGCGCCGCTTCCGCCGCCTCGAGAACCGCTACGAGGCTCTGGCCAAGCAGGTGTCCTCCGAGATGCGGTTTGTGCAGGATCTGGTCCGCGCCATGGAGCAGGAGAAGCAGCAGGAGGTGGAGTGTGGCCTCCGCTAGGGCCCCGTGTGGCGGGTGGGCCCAGAGGGTTCTGGGGGTGGTTGTCCCCTTCACAGCCCCGGAGCCAGGCCCTCTGTCATTATCTGGCTCTAGAGAGTTCCCGGGCTGGGGCTGAGATGGGAAGAGGCTGGACTGGGTGGGATGTGCTTCATGGGGCCCAGAATTCACTGCTGAGAGGAGGGGCTTGGCCGGCTCTGCCCCAGGAAGACTGCTGTTCTGGGCCTCCTCTGCACAGCCTGTCTCCTCTGGCTTAACTTCCCCAATCTCCCCCCCCCCCCTCCCCACATTTCTCTCTCTTTCATTCTCACAACAATGGTGATGGGTGGGGTGGTGGTGGCGCTTCTGGGGTAGTGTCTTCTCTGGAACTCTGAATTCTCTGCAAGGGGTTGGTACCTCCAAGATGGCCTGGCCATGATGGACACAGATGCTTCATGCCTGGCCCAGTGGCAGGTGGCAGCCTTCATGTCCTGTGTTAGGGGGCTGCAGGGCAGTCAGAGGACATGGAGCAGGGCCTGGTCACCATCTTCAGGCCCTCCCTGCACATCCAAGCACACACAGCCTCAGGGCGGATTTCTGAGGGCCCCTGCATGCCCCAGGGCTCGGAATTGGAGGGGCCTCTGCTGGATATGGGCCTCTCCTGTGAGCTGAAAGGAAATAAAGCCCGGATCCTGACAGTCAGCCGTTGTCTGTGCTTGGACCAGGTTGGGCAGCCAGCTTTGGGTCACCTGGTGCCTGGGTTGCGAGCTCGATCCCCCTCTAGAGATGGGAGGTGGCTCCTCCAGGGTCAGGGGGCCTCAGAGCACTGTTCTCCCAGTTCCTTGCTGGGGCACTCTGGATCTTGAGCTGGCACCAGGGCCAGAGCTGAGGAGATGACCCAGCCTTGAGGAGGTGTCAGTCTGGAGGTAGTATGGGGAGTAGGAGGGCATTGTGGCTAAGCATGCTGCCTAGATGCAGTAAAGGAAACATCTGCAAAAGCCAAGTGTGATTTTCTGGAGGCCCAGGAAGTCCCTGGGTGAGGCAGGTCTTGGCGGTCAAGCAGCTGGGGACAGGAGTATCCCTCCCCAGTGGGGAGCCATCTTCTCTCTCTTTTTAAAAAAAATATATTTTTATTGATTTTTTACAGAGAGGAAGAGAGAAGGATAGAGAGTCAGAAACATCAATGAGAGAGACTCATCGATCAGCTGCCTCCTGCACACCTCCTACTGGGAATGTGCCTGCAACCAAGGTATACGCCCTTGACCGGAATCGAACCTGGGACTTCCCAGTTTGCAGGCCGATGCTCTATCCACTGAGCCAAACTGGTTTCTGCCCATCTCCTCTTTTCACTCCCTCATAATGCCAGGTGCAAGTTCCTCATGACACACAGTTCATGAAGTGCCAACGCCAGCAGTGGAGTCCCTCCCCTGCCTCAGTTCCTGGCCCTGCCCTACCAGCTCCTGCCTCATTCCTTTCTCCAGTATTGCCTTTTGAACTGTTAGGGCTCCAGGCCAGCATCCCTTGGTAGGGACCACATAGAGTAGTCACAAAAGGCTCATGGGCCCAGTGTCCCTTTCCCCAGAGAACCTTAGGATTCTTTAGCACCCCCACACTCATACTCTGCTGTTCTGTGTGGGAAGAAGCCCATTTGCCTGCCTCGGCCTCTGCCTCTGCTGCTCAGAAGCACTGCCCAGGACTGGCGGGTTGAAGGGTTACGGTGGGCAGTGCTGTCGTGTGCCACTAGGTGCCACCCTTGAGCAGGATCTTGTACCTCCTAAGAAGGTTCTCTAAGGTCCAGGCTTGAACAAAATATGGGTCCCTAGCTGGTGGCCACTCTGAGCTCAGAGATCCCTGCTGCACGTTGGGTTAAGTGAGGGAAATCTGTGTAGACCCTTCACCCCCAGCCTGGCCAAGTGCAGGGAAGAACCAGGCAGGTGGGGCTTGTATTCCTGCCAAGGCTGCTGACCAAGGCTTCTGCCACCAGGACGCTGCCAGGCTGAGGCAGGGTCTTGAGACCTGGCTGTGGAGTGTGATGGAGGGGGTGGGACCCCCTGCACCTCCTCCATGAGCTCCATTGAATTGCATATAAGACCTCTGCAGACGTGTCCGCTGTGAGCCGAAAGGAAATAAAGCTGCAATTCTGACATTCAGCCATTGTCTGTGCTTGTTTCCCTGCTCAGCTTCCAGCAACAATTTTCCAAGGCAGATCCAAGTTGGGCAGCCAGCTTGGGTCACCTGGTGCCAGGGTTGCGGGCTTGATCCTCAGTGGGGAGTGTGCAAGAGGCAGCTGATCAATGATTCTCATCATTGATGTTTCTATCACCCTCTCCCTCTCTGAAATCAGTAAAAAAAAAAATATTAAAAAAAATATATGACTAGGTAGAAGTTGAAATTCACTTGGACTCACACCTACCCTTTCAGTATGCACGGTCCACCATGCTGCAGGGCTAAATCTGCAGCACCTTTCAGGGGGTGGCGGGCAAGTGTCCTTGCTCTGGAGATGATTTCTGCCCCACTCTCCTGACCTGGGTTATCTTAAGTGGCTCAGCTCAGTGCAGCCTCAGTTTACTCACCCTGTTGATTGAGGGCATGGGGAGCCACCTTGGGGCCATAAAGCACCTCTCAGAGTGGGTAGCCCACACAAGCACTTGCCAAATAGCGCTGCTGCCCAGTGCAAAGCCTGCCGGGCTAGTGTGCTGTTATTCATGATGGCAGCAGGCAGACTGCGGGATGTACCCCCAGGACCCCTGGTTCTTGCCAATCACTCCCCAGGAGTGGGCTGGCCTAGCAGCAGGTTCTAACCAACAGGATTCGGCAGAGGTGGTAGAGGTCAATTGCGCTTGTGGAAATACAGCTCTGGATAAAACCCTCTGTTTATTAAGCACACCAGCGAGGCTATAGTAACCACAGATCCATCGCTGGCATCGCTGTGTTTGAGAATACGTCAGAGGAGCTTCGAGAACATCTGGAATCTCTTCCATAACGCTGCCCGCAGAGTGAAGTTCAGTTTCCCTGCTCAGCTTCCAGCAACAATTTTCCAGGGCAGATCCAGCGTCTGTTAAAGATACTATTGTAAATGGAGGTCAGCTCCCCTGCTGTGCCCAGTCCTCGCAGTAGTAGCATAATCTTGATTCCTTTCTTCAGCTACAGTGACAAATGGGTGTGAGTCACGGAGCAGCCCGAGACTTGTGGCGATCACCCTGCCAGGCTTCATGCCAGGGACTCTGCTCAGGTTCCAGACCTAGGCAGGCTTGCTGGGCCACCCCGTCAACCACACAGCGGGACGCCTTGTTGCCTTTCACTCTTGAGCCCTTCGCTATTTCTGTGCAGAAGACTAACGCTGAGTATTTCGTCAACTTCCATATCCGACACTGATGCCCATGGGTGCCTCGCCAAAGCCAGGCTCCAAGACTTTGTCCTCTTACCTCATGGATTCTAAAGCAAAAGCTGACTATTGGCTCTGTGGGTTCCAGGCTGGTATGCCTCAGGTGGGGAGAGCTGGAGACGAGTGAAGGTGGCTCAGCCTCATGGAATTCTTTTTATCATATACAAAAAATACTACGGGTTGATTTAAAGTCCTCTTGCCTTTTTTTTTTTTTCTATGGGAATGTCCAGCACTAATTTAGTTCATTTACTTAAAAAAAAATCTTTTTAAAAAATATGTTTTTATTGATTTCAGCCGAAACCGGTTTGGCTCAATGGATGGAGCGTCGGCTTGGGGACTGGAGGACCCGGGTTCGATTCCGGTCGGGGGCATGTACCTTGGCTGCGGGCATATCCCCAGTAGGGGGTGTGCAGGAGGCAGCTGGTCGATGACTCTCTCTCATCGATGTTTCTAACTCTCTCTCTCCCTTCCTCTCTGTACAAAATCAAATAAAATATTTAAAAAAAATATATATATTTTTATTGATTTCAGAGAGGAAGAGAGAGGGAGAGAGAGCTAGAAACATCAATGTTGAGCAAGAATCATTGATCAGCTGCCTCCTGAACGCCCTCTACTGGGGATTGAGCCTGCAACCCAAGTATGTGCCCTTGACTGGAATCAAATCCAGGACCCTCCAGTTCGCAGGCCAATGCTCTACCCACTGAGCCAAACCAGCTAGGTCATAGTTCATTTACTATTTGTTTTGCATTTTTTTGCTATGAAGATGGGAGCATTACACCAGCACTGGCTTTATATCACTTCTTTGGCATTATGGTATGCATTCTGAAGCAGGTAAATCTTGTTTGCTCATAAGAACTGTGTACATCCTTTCTACTTAGCCAACAGGCAGGGCCATCTTTGTGAGGAAACAAAGCCTTGGTATTTTATTAAAAAAAAAAAAAGTGGATCTCTATCCATTTGAGTTTTCAGATGAAGTCCAGTTCTGGTCAACACCTGGATTGCAGCCCCTAGAGGAACCTTGCAGAAAGCCCAGGTAGGCTATGCCCCAGTTCCTAGTCTGTAGAAACTGAGATACCACACATTTTAAGCCACTGTTTGCAGTGGTTTGTTTTGTATCAGTAGCTGACTAATTTCTCTATATAAAACCCTAATATGCAAATAGACCGAACCGCGGAACAACAGAACAACTTAACAATCGGTTGCTATGATATGCACTGACCACCAGGGGGCATGTGCAGAACATGGTAGGCAATGGCCGTGGGGGGATGGTGGAGCAGGTGAAGGGGGGGAGCACCAGACCAAGGTGGGGTGCTGGACACTGTCATTGGGGTGAACCTCTGATGGTTACTGATAATTCTTTGCTCCTGCATGCTATGGTCCTGCTCCTGGTACTGGCCCTGCTTGTACCACTGCCATTTGCACCTGCTACTAGTGCCCAGTGCCAGTTCTGGTGGCTGTCAGCAGGTGCGAGCAGCGGCTGCCAGCCCTGATTGCCCCTGAGGGGCTTACCCATTTCCCCCTGCTCCTGAGGGGTGATCAGGGCAGCAGCAGCTGCTCATACCAGCTGCTGGCACTGTGGCCCCACTTGCACCCACTGTTGGCGCTGGCCCCAATTATGCTGTCAGTGCATGGGAGCAGAGGTCAAGCTGCTGGCAGATGGGACTGGAGGCTGCAGGAAGGGCCAGGCAGGGGCAAAGAGGATTGGCCAAGATCTGCCCCTGTGCCCACCACACCCTTGCAGCCCAGTTTCTTTCAAGGTGCATGAATTCGCCTGGACTGGTTTGGCTCAGTGGATAGAGCATCGGCCTCTGGACTGAAATGTCCCAGGTTTGATTCTGGTCAAGGGCATGTACCTTGGTTGCAGGCACACGGGTGTGTGTGTGTGTGTGTGTGTGTGCAGGAGGCAGCTTATGGATGTTTCTTTCATTGATGTTTCTGACTCTCTATCCCTCTCTGTAAAAAATCAATAAAATATATATATATTTTAAAAGGTGCATGAATTCATGCACTGAGCCCCTAGTACACTGATAAAAAGCACACCAGCACTTGCCAATTTACTGAACTATTCAACTTCTCGTTTCCCCTCTTTTTGCACCTGGTCTGTTTGCTGTGCCTTTGTTCCCTTTTCTTTCTGGGATTGTGACTGGGGATACATGTTAGCACTGAGCCATCATCTTCCTTCTGCTCCGGAGAGTGAACACCCAGTAAATTCGTGGAGTGAGGGCTCCCAGTTGTCTGGTTTTTCCCTTATTACCTGCTCCTTTTTAATATATATATATATATATATATATATATATATATATATATATATATATTTTTTTTTTTTTTTTTTTGATTTTTTTTTTTTTTTGGATTTTTTACAGAGAGGAAGGGAGAGGGAAAGAGAGTTAGAAACATCGATGAGAGAGAAACATTGATCAGCTGCCTCCTGTACACTCCCTACTGGGGATGTGCCTACAACCAAGGTACATGCCCTTGACT